ATTGGTTCTAATTGATCCTTTATTTTCTGAAACCTTACCAGGGGTCAGCAGTCATAGTTTGTGGACTGCAATGGTCCAAAGACTCCTTGTGTAAATGGCACTGCTGTAAATAGACTGCTATTGCTGTGTGCATATGGATATGCAACTAACCTATCTAGATTTCCAGCTAATGTTATCCTGAAACCTTGATGAAAGTGACATTTACTAAGAAAGTATGTTGAACACTTATAAAATGTTCAGTTATGCAGTTATTTATGCAATAAATAAATGAATTTGCACATTGTCCAAATATTTATTATACATACCGAGATGCTTTTTTAGAGAGTGAGAAAGAAGTGTGTCAGAATGTGCAATGCAGCATATAAATGGAACAAATCCTTGTTAGATAAATGACAAAAAAGGTATCAAGGTCTTTCTTCTGAATAAAGGTGATAGGCTGAAAGAAATAAAATAAAGCCCATTTATGTAATTAACAAAAAAGAGAAGGGATTTTGTGGTGGTGACCTTTCTCTGTCTCTGACCTTTAAAGATGGGAGGCTTAAAGCCTACTTCATATTCTTTAATAATGACAACAAAAAATCTTGGCATTTAACTTTTTATATGAATAGTGTTCCTTTTTTGATATGGAGGAAATTCCAGTCATGCAAGACTAGATGCAAGTTCTCACTGTGGTGGTAGAGTATTTCCAGGAAATTAGAAGTACAGTTTGAGTGGTCTTTATCTGAAATGCTTGGGACGAGAAGTCTTCCTTATTTTGGATATTTTTGGAGTTTGGAATACCTGTATTGGCAGTTACATAATAAGACTGGAGAAAGACTAGGATCTGTGAAATGTTGGAAATTCAAGTGTGGTGCTTGGCATGGATCCACACCTTCTGTCATTTCATAAATCCTCTTGCCTCTCTCCAATCTCACAAATACAGTACAAGTAAGTGACTCGAAAGATTTTGGATTTTGGAATATTTTAGATTTTGGAATTCCAGATAAAGAGTATTAAACCAATATAGTTGTGTGGCTGATGGCTTAATATAGTGGGGTCTTATCTGTTGGGATTTGTTCCAGGACCTCACCTGGATATCAAAATTCACGAATGCTCGAGTCTCATTATATGCAATGGTGTAGTAAAATGGCTTCTCCTATATAAAACCCACCTTGAATCCCATCGTGGGAGGAAGGCAGGATATAAATTCTTAAAATAAATAAATAACTAAATAAAACAGCAAATTGAAGGTTTGATTTTTGGATATTTTTTTTGTTAATATTTTTGAACCATGATTGGCTGAGTCCATGGAATCCATGGAAATGCCAACTTTAGCTTTTTGTGTGTGGCTGTTATAGAATTGTTGGCTCTAACAGTGATTTTTTTTTTTAGGTTCTCAAGCCTTTAACTAATCCATGTGACCTGATCTTTTCTTCCTCTTTCTCTCTCTAACATCTTATTGCTTCTGTCTCAGTGCAGCCTTACCAAGACTTTTGTATCGCCTGCTAAGGTGCGAGAGCAGCCATTTTAGATTTTTCTGAACCAACCATGCACAGACTGTTTATGTATATTTCTTACGTAATGTTTTCCACCTTGACAATCAGCAGCAAGATATGAACAAATCTTCAAATCTCTACCACTTGGATCCCAATGCTGTAAAGTGGAGAAGGATGCAAAGGCTTTTTCCAATTTGCCAGCACTCAAAATTCCCCTCACCATTTCTATTCACCATCGAATTTGGCTCCTGCTGACATTTTATGTTCTATTGGTGATAGAAAATTGGCTGACAAATGCCAACTAACATTGATTTATAAGATTTTTATTAGTATTTTTAAATGCTGTTTAATTCTTTCATGTATCGCTAAGCATAATCACTTCACCAGCTGGCATATTTACAATGTCTTGTGTGGGGGGAAAAGATGTCCCACTGTGGCATTTTCTATTTAGAACGAAATTGACTGTATCAAGCACAGCAGCTGTTGGCATACAGTACATCTCAGTGGGGTGCTCTTGTTCCTTCAGCTATTTTTGATTATTGATAAGAGTTTTCTGGTATGCAGTTCTTTGAAAGCATAACAGTCAAGTTTTATTTCCTGTTTGTCTTGCAATTACTGAGGGGAAGAAGTAGAGGTGCTAGAACTCAAAATGAAGCTACCTCATACCTGCTGGCAGTCTACTCTTCTTTCATGATACAGGACAGTCTTTTAGTGTCTTTATTGTCCCTTTGAGAGAACAACTAAATGAAAAAGTCACATTTATACCATGCTGAGGTTGCAAATAGAAGGGAATACTTCGGTTCTTACCCCTTGCTTCCCTCCTGCCAAAAAAAAAAAAAATCATCATTTGAAGCTGCTTATAGGCTGCATCTGCACTGCAGAAATGATTC